GGGGAGGCCACTGCTGATTAGTACACATGATATGTCAGGGCTGTTAAAAAAAAGGCTCCTTGTTCAGTCCTCTAAGCTGCACTGGGCTCTCATATTAGCTGATCTCCCATTGGTGCTCCGGAGAGAGAGGCCATGTAATGTGATGTTGGAACTGACATTGTGAGTTCCACCATCACTAGTATCACAACTGGTTCTCCTCCCATTCCAGGCTTATGGACAACAGGGCTCTTGCAGTTGGGCAGGGCCATGTGTCTAGTTCTGGATGACCTGTGAGCAGAGGCAGGGGAAGCCCACACACTGCTCTCTGTCTGTGTCTCCAAGAGCATGTGATCCAGCAGGAGGCTTTGTTTTAGGGGCAGACCTGCAAAATTAAACCAACCTGGCCACTGAGCTGCACCATAAGGGAAGGTGCCTGAAAGAAGCATTTGCAACATCCCAAGTCCTTTGTTGCATTAAGCCACTGAAATTTGGAGGCTGTTTGTGACTGTCAGACAACTTGGCTCAATCTAATGCAAAAATCAATAAGAAAACATTACAAGTCTTTTCACACTTTTTCCATCATCAGTAGATTATCTGCTTTTGCTTTCAGTATAAGAGCCCGGGCATGTCAGTTTATCATTTTCTTGACAATTTTATTCTGGACTGGAGACATCTCTGCATCCTCCACTTCCCCCACGCAATTTTAGAGGAATCCTATTTGCCAAAAGTCTTCCAGATGAGACCTGAGTGCCATCCTGGTTGGACTAAACCTATCTGCATCCCGCTGAAAGATACTTATACGTTACTCATTGTGAGAAAAGAGTACCAGCTGCTTTGTAAACAGGCTTGGACCTCCAGATGGGTCATTTAGAGAATGGATCTAGAGAAATACATGAGCCAGTAATTAACTCATCTGGTTTTATTGTTTCTTGTGTGTTTTGATTGTTTCTTGTGTGGCCCCAAATAAGCGGTAGTAGCATAGTGCAGATGCCTAGACAAGGGATCATGAAATTGGGTTCCTAGAGGCAGCTTGGTTGGGTCAGCAGTGTGGTTGAATGTGCTATGTCCTGGGTCACTGTTCACTACTCCAAAAGACACTGTTTCCATTGTGTCTGATGGAAATGGGGCCTTCTGGGCTCCAGGAGCACAAGAGTGACAGTATAGCATGGCAGGCCCTGAATGTGTCCCATCTGTGCCTCAGTTTCCTCGCTGTGAAATGGGGCTGTGACATCCTTCCCAGGCCTTTGGGAAAGACACCACACTTTGTACGTAACTGTATAGTTTTACTTTTTTTTTTTTAACCGAAGTTCAGTATAATTTCTAAAAAATCCACCAACAATAAGGACTTCAAAAACCCCAGGATCAGAAATATGGATGAAATAAAAATTCAGACAGATAAAACATCATCTGAAACTCTCAGGGGTGTATCAGGATACAGTATGTCTGAGGACTAGCCCAGCCTCCCTAACTACCTCGCTAGTAGGTCTGGTCTCCTGATTATTTCTGTGAATAAAGTTTCGCTAAAACACAGTCAAGCTCATTTAACTCACACAACGTTCCTGTCTGTTTTCACAGTACAATAGCATAGGTGAATAGTAGTGACAGGAATTTTTGGCCTGCAAAGCCTTACAAATGTGTGATTTGGTCCTTTGCAGTAGACAAGACCAGTGGTTCTCAAACTTAACCAAGCACCTGGTGGACTTTAATTAAAGTACAGATTTCCGGGTCCACCTCTGAATCAATAGATCTGGGGGGTGGAACCCATGAACTTGCATTTTTATCAAGTCTCACTAAGGTGATGCTGATGCTGCTTGTCTGGGGACCACGGTTTAAGGCCCGAGGACTAGCGGGTTACCGTTGGCAAGTTCTACCGATGAGAGAAACGCTAATGGAACAGAATGAGCATCAGCTCTGCCAGGGGCACTTCTCCAGTTTCCAGAATGGAGTAGAGGAAGAAGCAGGTGCCCATTTCTCTGTGACTCTTTGGCTTAATTAAACAACAAAAAAGTGCGTATTTCAGGGCTGCACAGAAGGTACTGTACACATATTTGGGGAACTCTGTGAATAAGGTTGGCTATAAAACAACTCCTCAACTTGTGGGTGTGAAGGAATTCTGTAACTCTGCAGCACCTGAGGGAAAACACTCTGTGAGTACCGTCAGCAGGTATCAACTTATAGCTATATAATTACTGAATTCCAGACGAACATGTCGAAATTCATCCAGGATCACTTCTTTCTGTAGGGTGTCAACTGCTGAGCTCTGGGGACCAGTCTGTTGGAGATGAACTCAGGCAATAATAATCAGGGTTCTTTTTTGGAGGAGGGAGGGAGAGGTAATTAGGTTTGTTTGTTTGTTTGTTTATATTAAGGTATAGTGAGTTTATAGTGTTGTGTCAATTTCTGGTATACAGCACAATGCTTCAATCATACATGAATATACATATATTAATTTTCATATTCTTTTTCACCATAAGCTACTACAAGACATTTGATATATTTCCCTGTGCTATACAGTATAAACTTGTTCATCTATTTTATATACACCTGTCAGTATCTGCAAATCTCAAACTCCCAGTTTATCCCGTCCCACTCTGTTCCCCTCTGGCAACCACAAGTCTGTACTCGATGTCTGTGAGTCTGTTTCTGTTTTATGTATAAGTACATTTGTCTTTTTTTTTTTTTTAGACTCTACATATGAGCAATCTCATATGGTATTTTTCTTTCTCTTTCTGGCTTACTTCACGTAGAATGACAATCTCCAGATCCATCCATGTTGCTGCAAATGACATTATTTTTATTCTTTTTTTGGCTGAGTAGTATTCCATTGTATAAATATACCACACCTTCTTTATCCAGTCATTTGCTGATGGGCATTTAGGTTGTTTCCATGTCTTGGCTATTGTAAATAGTGCTGCTATGAACATTGGGGTGCAGGTGTCATCCTGAAGTAGGGTTCCTTCTGGATATATGCCCAGGAGCAGGATTCCTGGGTCATACGGTAAGTCTACTTTTAGTCTTTTAAGGAATCTCCATACTGTTTTCCACAATGGCTGCACCAAACTACATTCCCACCAAAAGTGAAGGAGGGTTCCCTTTTCTCCACAGCCTCTCCAGCGTTTATATGTGTTTTGAATGATGGCCATTCTGACTGGTATGAGGTGATACCTCACTG